AATTTTCTCATAATTTTTAATGGCCTCAAACTAGTGTGAAATTACTCATCTTCACAGGTTGGTCCGAAATTATTTCAAATATGATAGGCAGTTTTGTAAAATTCACCAAAAATTGTAGAAAAATCGTATGAAAACGTGCGAGTAGTCATTTTAAAGGTATAAACCTGAACTTTATCCCTGTAAAACAGTATTGAAAAATACTTCCATTTGAATGGTCAAAACAGTCCGAGATTGGACCAAAACGTTTATGTCAAATGTTGTTTTGTGAATTTAGTTTATAGATCTCTAACCACAACACTCATTTTTGCTATATCAAGTGTATAAATCCACTATATAATAGTTTACATGTATTATGTTTGATAAAACATACTTCTCTCAAGATTCATATAAAGATCCAAGTGATACACTTCAAGTTTCTTAACATATTTGTAGATTAGTGAAGAAATCACACATAATCACCAAATGTTTCAAGGAAATCACACATAATCATGCATATACACATAGATCTACACAAATCAACTTGTATTCTCCTCCAAAAACAAGTAAAAACCAAAAACAAGGGGGTATGAACTCACCTTGGGGTTTGGAAGTCGGTTTTGATGAAGAGATGAGTAGATCTCGAGTTCTATGAAGTTCTAGGGTATGGATCATGAAATGATGTGGGTTAAGAAGAGATTTAAGGTGTAACTTGGAGTTAAAACTATGAAGTCTAACTAAAACTTACCAAATGTGATGAACTTTGTTGAAGAGCCTCTTGGAACACAAACAACCCACGTGATTTTTATTTTGAGGATAAGAGGGTGTCTTCAAGATGATTTTGAGAGTGTTTGTAAAAACATGAAGGTGGTGGTGTAGGTTTGTAATTCTCGGCCCTTGTTAAAAGAGAAGGAAGAGATAAGATCAAAGGGGTTAATGCATGATGGTTAAGGAGGATTGTGCTTTGTTACATGTGAGTTCATTTGCTTAGATTACCACTAAGCAAAGATGAGGTGTCAAGATCTCAAATTATCTTTTTTGTTTTTTTTACATATGGGCCGAGAATTGGGTTTGTAAAGAGGAAGTGAATTGCTTTGGGCCTATGGGCCGAGAATGAACTATTTTAGGCCCACATGGCCCAAAAAAATCTAGTTTCATGATTGTGGGTCCAATTAGAGCCCAAATAGTCAATTTGAAAGTTTATTGGTTCGTTAGACCCAATAAGAGAATCATAGTCCATAATAATCTTGAATTGGGATTTCTAAGGTTTCCAACCCGTAGTTGAACATATGAGATGTATTTGAACGAGAATGAAGTATAGTATTCACTTATAGTACAAGTTATTACACTAGGTGAATGATTGCGTGTGAGTAGAATTTCCTAGCAAAAATGCTAGTTGTGACAAGCAGGCTCACAACCTGTAGGTGTTTGTGAACGATGTGTTCACCGGTGTACTCCATCCCCTCATGGTTGCCTTAAGGACATTTATTGCTGAGGAATCCCCTTAGCATTAGTGTCCATCCCGATGTTGATCCTTAGTCTAGGTCTCTTATGATAGTTGTTTTAGGGACCTAATGTGAGGATAACGGGGAACGAGTAATCGAGTTATTGTTGGTTGATGAAATTAATAAACTTATTTATTGTGGGTTGAAAACCCTATGTGCTCACCAGACTCCCAAGCCTGACCCACTCATTTTCTTATATTACAGTTAGTGGCGCACGAGCATAGATATGATGTTTGGGATGAGAGATTACGGATATAGGCATATAGATATCAATAAATGTAGTAAGGCTTGTATTGTTTATGCTTTTCATTTGTATCGAACATGACATCCCGAGGTTTTTAATGAAACACTTTTATTTAAAATGTTACTCTGATTTTTAAACAAAGCATGAACAAAATCGGTCTTTTCTAGCCGTGAAAATGGGGATGTCACACCATACCAATGGGTCGAAGGCACCAAGGTCGGCCCATTATCGTTATGAGTTGTGATTAATTAGTTGTGGGATATGTGATATGCTAGTTATTTCTGATACTCGCATGAAAGACCTCGGGGGATTCCCGAGGCACTTGTATGTAAGACCTTGGAGGGTTTCCAGGGAATTCTATTATATTTGCTTGTATGGTTTGTATTTCATCTCTTGATTATAAAAACCGTGAGGGGATTCCCACGGCGGGAAGACCATGTGGGGTTCCCATAGTAGTTAGTTAAGACCATGTCAGGGTTCCAGTGGCACTAGGTGTAAGACCCCGGAGGGTTTCATTGGCTTCCTTATATGTTTGTACGCATGGTTTATGTGGTTTATGTAGCTTTTGTAGCTAATGATTATGTGATTATGTGGATTTGTGTAGAGTATGCTTTGGGGAACTCACTAAGCATTAGCTTACAGTTTGTTGATTGTTTCAGGTACTTCTGAGCCTAAGGGCAAGGGCAAGGTCTGATGGCGCGGCATGCACTCTCACAAGCGTTTTTCTTTTGGAACACTCTGATATTTGAAATATAAATTTTTTATGTATGAATTTGAAATCAATTGTTTTGAGATTTTATGGATAATTGGAAATGTTTTGAAATTTTAAAAATTGAAAATTTTCTTTTGAAAATTTGGGTCGTTACAAGTTGGTATGAGAGTCTTGGTTTGAGGGATTCGGACACACTCTCGGGTGTGTCAGGACTCAAACTAAGGAAATTGTAAAATTGTTTTCGAAAAATAAAAGTTAAAAACTTTTTAGAATGAGAAAAAGGAGACTGCAATGTGCGTGATCGGCCGAGCCAAGTAAGTAGTTTCCCGAGTATGTTAGCCATGTTATACTGATATGTGAGTTATGATAATCGTATGAATCTTGCTATGTTTATGCTTTCAAAATTGTATACGGTTAGGGTCTTATAGCCTTGGAATGATTAATTTGGCATTATTTTCTGTTCATTGTCTGGTTGTAGTCTTAGGGTAGAGTCCATTATTCGAAAGTCTATCTAATCCTGTTTTGTTTATAATTTGCATGCATAAGGCAACCTAGAGTTATCAGGTAGAGCCTTGGGGAATGTACGAGTAGGTGTGGAAGGTAGTATTGGGGTCATACTACTAAAAGCACAGAACATGTACCCGAACCAATGTTAGATATGGAAGCTCTAAGGAGGATCGGTATGGGAGGATCCCATCTATGGACATCCTGGTCATTATGTTTTATAGTATTGCAGAGTAGTATGGTGGTCACACGATTTGGAGCAAGGGGGTCAAGATCCGGGGCTGGGTCAGGTGACACTACTAAGCCCATTGATAAAAGGCTGCATGAGCTTATTGCAAAAGAGATTAACAGGGGTATCCTTGATGCTACCCTTGTTATCTTTGGGATGGTCAAGGATGGTATGATGGAGATCATGGAGGAGAGGCTCAGGATATTCAGAGTCAAGATTGTTACGGGCCAGGTCGGGCTCGAACTCCCTTGTTTTAGGAGTGCAAGGCGTGCGAGACACCGAAGTTTTTTAGGGTAAGGGACCCCATTGTTAGCCAACGCTGGGTGGCGGACATAGAGAACGTTCAACGCACGAGTTATTTCGCTGATGCGACAAAGGTGGGGTTTGCTTCATGTATGCTGAGGGATCGGGCCCATGATTGGTGGGGAGGGGGGGCAAGCCAGGTGGGAGTAGTCGGTGTGCCTGAGATGTCATGGGCTGAGTTTTATTAGGCGATTTCGAAGATTGCACCACCTATCGAGGTCCAACGGCTGGTGAGGGAGTTTCATGAGCTTCAGCAGACCATCGAGACTATGGCGGAGATCACCGCCAAGTTTCGGGAACGGACATTATTGATTCCACAGTATGCTACTGATGAGGACATGATGAGGACGAGGTATCATTCCATGTTGAGGGATGATATTCGGGAGTTTGTGAGTTTTACAGAGTGCAAAACCCTGAATGAGATGGTGGAGAAGGCCCATGAGTAGGAGATGGAGTTGGATTTCCGCACCAAGTGGAAGCCTGAGCAGGAACAGATAGCAGTAGGTCATGCTAAAAAGCCTAAGTCCTGGGATTCATCCAGTAAGGGCACCACGCCGTGACCAATGCGCCAAGTGTGGGAGATCTCATGGTGGAGCTTGCCGAGGGACGGACGCGGTATGTTATACATGTGGTCAGCCATACCACGTGAGCAGAGACTGCCCCAAGAAGGGCCTGAGTTTACAAAATATGTAGTGACTTTAGAAGTGCAAGTTCGATGTTGGCTATAGAGGTGTAGAACTTCGACGATAGCACCTTAAATGTGTAGTTTTCTAATATCAACGACTTTAGAGGTGCAAATCGATAGAGGTTCAAATAGGTGGATTGTAGGTTTGAGTTTACAAAAGAGAGTGGCAGACAAAGATATTAGGTCTAGAGAGGATTAGTCGTCGGACATGGAGCCGGACATAGGGAGGTCGTCGGCGAAGTTGAGATGACAGTCACCAACTTTGAAGAAGGTAAAGAGCAAAATGTGAAAGGGGAAAGGATATCGGCGTTCTATTTTATGGGGAGACAAGGTTTTTTTTGTGATTTATAAATAATTAACTAAAACAATAAAATAAATTAAAAATTAAACATTAAGCGCATTTTAGTCATTTAAAAACTTTTTAGACGGGGACTTGTACAGTAACAAAATCAAAACCTGGGGATAGTCCGCGTGCAAAACAAAAATTAGGGACCAAATGTGAAATTTATACAAACCATAGAGACCATTTCAGTAATTTTTTTAAACAATTACTTATTTTTCATATTTGCATTATTTAGCCATAGTTGATTTATTATTTATCCGTAGTTGATTTATATAGCCTCATTGTATCTTCCATCTATTTCACTAACATAATCGACATAAAAACAATATTAAGGCTGTACTTTGGCACGTCACAGCTAGCTGATAAGCTAACTTATTTTTCGAATTTTTTTAAGTTGTTATGTTTTGCAAGCGAAAAAATAGCTTATAAGCTAAACCACCTTTCAATACTTTCTTTGTTAATTATGTATTTTTTTCATAACAAAATATATATTTCGACATTTAAAAATAATAAACCAGATCTCATTATAGATTCTCACTTCCTCATCAAAACAACATTTGAAATCTCATATCCTTATTAAAGTAAACATGTAGAAACCTGACCAAAAAACATGTTATCTTTAAGTGAAGAATCTTAGATACAACTTGATTTGTACATCTATATCAAGAATGGTTTTGTTTTGATTTAAAACCTCGCTAACCAAGCAATAAATATAATTAATTATAATAAAATGACCACAAAACCGAAAATTAGAATAAAACACAAAAACCAGTGAAAGAACACAGCGGTGGTGGTGGCGGTGATTGGTGGTTGGTGATGCTGACTAATTAATGGAAATGATGTTTACCTTCTCGTTTGTTAACAACTCCACATGTCCATGCCTTCTTTTCTTACTTCACATGAAACATAACAAGAAAAATAAAGATTATAATAACAAAAACAAACTCAACCATCAAAAGCAACAAAATACGTTCTTACTACTTACCACTTAGAAGCATTTCCTGTGGACGATAGATGGACCAGATTCATCATACTCACCCTTCGCAATCCACATCTGATTTACACACAAGAAAAGTAAGTTGGTCAAATATTTGTCAGGACAAATTATGAAAATAGCAGCCTACTTTTCTCCTTTTTACTAATATTGGGTATGTACTTCATTTTTCCCCATAATAGCCATACACTAAAATTTCTTTACCCATAGTAACAATATGTAACAAATGAATTACATTATTGATATTGGTAGAAAATGTAAGTACGTTGCTAATGTTGCTATAATCAGTAGAAGAAAATTGAAGTACAATGTTATTTATGAGTAAAAGAACACAAGTATTTTGCTAGTATGCGTATAAATTAAAGTATGTTGCCCGTATTGGTAATGAATGAGAAGTATGTTGTTTTTCTAGTATTTCTTGCAATGTACTTAGAATTTTTATCGATCATAGTAATATTCAACCATAATAGCAACATACTTATTTATTTTTTTCAACACAAATGACAACGCACTTACAATTCTTTATCTAATCATAGCATCGTAGTCACATTTAAATAATCATACAAACAATATGTATCAACGATCATGCTACAACACTTCATCAGGGATTTAATTTACCGGTTGGAAGGTGCTGAGAGATGCAAGGATTGATCCTCCGATCCACACACTGTATTTCCTCTCGGGAGGTGCAACCACCTTAATCTTCATGCTACTAGGAGCAAGGGCAGTAATTTCCTTGGTCATTCGGTCAGCAAAGCCCGGTAACATGGTTGACCCACCACTAAGCACAATATGTCCAAAAAGATCCCTCCTTAGATCAATATCACACTTAATGACAGACTTGTAGGTCATCTCATGAATACCAGCAGCTTCCATTCCGATCAAAGATGGCTGGAAGAGAACCTCCGGGCAGCGGAATCTCTCTGCCCCAATCGTGATAACCTGCCCGTCGGGCAGCTCATAGTTCTTGTCAAAAGAGGAGCTAGTTTTTGCGGTTTCGAGCTCTTGCTCGTAGTCAAGAGCCACGTATGCGAGCTTTTGTTTCATGTCACGGACAACTTCCCGTTCAGCAGTTGTAGTCAAAGCGTAGCCTCTTTCCATCAGGATTCTCTTTAAGTAATCTGTGGTGTCACGGCCAGCCAGATCAAGACGGAGTATCGCGTGAGGAAGTGCATACCCTTCGTAAATTGGGATTGTGTGGGACACGCCCTCTCCGGAATCCAACACGACACCTGTATGAAAATCATATTGTTAACATTTATGATTTATCTCACACAACCGGAAAAAGAAAAGGTGTGAGTTAAAGTTTTAGAAAGTGTGGCTGCGATTGAGGGTTTTCTTGAGAGATTAGTCATTAGTCATTTAGTCTATGTGATTGTAACAATTTCTCATCCATTTAGGTCTATCGTTTTTCTCCGGTTTTGCAGTTCACATATATTTTTTTATTATTGGTTTTCTGTTATTTTTCATTAGAAGGGCTGTAGCAAATCTTTACGACCATTTCCCCAATACCAAAATGCAACAGTTGAAACTAAAAGAGCAATGTGAAACTAACCAGTTGTACGACCACTAGCATACAAAGAAAGTACAGACCCGATTGAAATGTACATGGCGGGAACATTGAAGGTCTCAAACATGGCTTCAGTCATCTTCTCTCTGTTTGCCTTTGGATTTAATGGTGCCTCAGTAAGAAGCACAGGGTGCTCTTCAGGAGCAACACGAAGCTCATTATAGAAAGTGTGATGCCAAATCTTTTCCATATCATCCCAGTTGCTGATAACACCATGCTCAATTGGGAATTTCAAAGTCAAAATACCACTTTTCGAGATGGCTTCATCTCCTACATAAGCATCCCTTTGACCCATGCCCACCATAACACCAGTGTGTCGTGGCCTACCCAGAATACTGGGGAACACTGCCCTAGGAGCATCATCAGCACAAAACCCCGCCTATAAATTTAATCAAATGAAGAAAAAAAACCCCAACTTGAGTAACATTTAACCTAATTTATGCAACAAATGATTTTTTAGACAAAATATGAAAACCGCGTTTCATTCTACAAACAAAATATGCAACATGATAAACCGGGTACCTCATGGCTTGACACCGGTTAAAGACTTTATTTATAAATGTTTACAGTTTCCCCTTTTACCATTTAATGCAACCATGATTGACTTTTTAATCACTTTATGCAACTGACACAAATTAGCAACCACTTTTTACCCTGTTATAGGTAAAATATTGCATGGTTAATTTTGGTGATAGATAGAAACACGGTCACCTATTTCGTCTAAAAAACTAATTTCTTGCATAAGTGAGAAAGATATGTTTTGTCATTGCTTAAACAAGCATTTATCCCTTATTTAAATTCAAAAGTACAAGAATCCAACTAACTCAAGAAATTAAGTTTCATGCAACCAGGAAATAGCAACATAAGAATTTTGCTAACCTTCACCATTCCAGATCCAATGTCACAAATAATGGGCTGAATATCCTCATCGTCAGCCATTTCTATAAACCTGAAACACAAACATCAAAATACAATAAAGTTACACAGAAAAATCTTTGACATCCCCATTATATTCCAAATGTTTTTTATTTGTTTAGCAAGAAATAACCAAAAAGAAAATTACTCCAGTTATATCCGCTAGACATGTTGCTATGATTCTCATATGGTCAAAAGAACTTCAAACAAACAACCACCAAACAAATTAAAGTTACCAAGTACTACCATCTCAATGGATACTCAAATGTTTAACAAATATCATGAAATCGATAATGCAATTCAAACAGATAGTAGATACCACAGCATTTAAGAACACAAAAATCGAACTAAATTTATTCAATCTATCCAGAGTCAATACGTAACAGGTCCAAGAGCATCGCGCTTTTTTACTAAACTTTTTGTACCATATGAGCACCAACGCAACAAACCAAAACCTCAAGATATCTCCATTATAATAATTAAATCTTTTTCAGAAAGCTTTTGGGGTCCTAGTAAAGTGAAAAGGCTATGGAAGTTAATAAACTATTATTAGAATTATAAAAAAGTTGTAGTGAAAAAAGGTATTTTAACTAGCTACTTTGACAAGCTTATTTGATTTGCTAATAAACTCCATTGTGAATGTCTAATTTCTACACATCACTCATCTTACACAATTCGGAATCAAATCAGTCAATAAGAACAACCAGCTGACCAGATTTACCAATAAAAAAATGATATTGTTCACTATACTGTGAGAAATGAAAAAATAGCGATTTCGATTGCATTTAAATTAGAAAAGATTCGATACGGATGCCAAGATACTCAGATCGGAATTTTTTTATTTTTTTTAAAAACCCATTATAATTACAAGATATCGCAGCAAACCTTTGGTGTTACAGATGGAAGAGAAGCAGCAGAAAGTACCTCCAGTTGCCGGCAGCTGAAATCCTAGGCTCTGGTGTGGTTTGGTTCGTTCAGTGGAGAAGGTCATCGTAAGACGAAAGGTTGACTTAAGGAATTAATCAGGAAGTATTAGGTAGAAGAACATCTAAAAAAACAAATAATTCGATATGTTTAATTGCTATTTTGCTACTTGCGTCACGCGTCATTCATCATTTCTGTTTTATAAACTTTTTTTGTTTTTTATTCCTTTGACTTTATTTTTAAGGTCCATCCTCAACCCATCTCTATTTGTTCTTTATAAATGGATTAAAAAAAATTAGAGTAAACACTCTCTTCAACCTTATTTTATTTTCTTTGTTATTTTTTATCTTAAAAAGTATATTTCTAATATATTTTATTTTTATAACTTATATATATTAGGAGTGTTTGGGGTATCTTTTCAGAGGGTAAAAAGATTTTTGAAAAAAGTTTCAAAAAGGCTGGTTTTTCTGATTTTTCTAAAAAGTTAATTTTTTTCTATAAAAAATCCAAAATAAGCTTTTAATGAGCTTTTACCAAACATCTTTTATCTGTTATCTTTTTTCAAAATTCTTTTGCCCTTTCAAAAATATCCCAAACATCCCATTGTCAAAGACACCTCTCTACTTATTAAACTTTATATTTATCATTAATTAATATAAATTAGTACATTATATTATAAATATTAAATATTGAATTTAAATTATAATTAGTAGATAAAATAAACTATAAATGTATAAAATAAAAATAAGAGAGACTAAAATTAACAATCAAACTTTACCTTTATTTTTGGGGATATCAATAGTATTCCTTAATATATGGGAGAATACTATTCATATCTCCAAATATGAATGTGAAAATAGGATAAGGTTGGAGAAAAATGGAGAAAGAAATGGGAGAAGAAATGGAGTTTGGGGATGGGTTTGAGATGCCCTAACAGCGTTTAACATCGAGTTTTTAAAAGGTCTTTTATGTTTTTTTATTTGTTCTTGACCCAAAAGTAAAAAAAATAAATAAATAAATAAATAAAGAGTAAATTACTGTAATCGTCCTTGTGGTTTGTTCAAAATTGCAAGTTTGGTCCTTAACTTCTTTTTTTGCACTCGGATCGTCCCTGTGATTTGATTTTGTTGCATTTTTCGTCCCTATGGTTTGGTAAAAATTGCATGTTTGGTCCTTAACTTTATATATGTAAGGGACGAAAAATGCAACAAAATTAAACCACAGAGACGAAAAATGCTACAAAATCAAACCATAGGGATGATCCGAGTGCAAAAAAAAAAGGTTATGGACCAAACATGCAATTTTGACTAAACCACAGGGATGATTTTAGTAATTTACTCAAAAATAAAATAAAGGGAAAACTGCAATAAAGTCTTTATATATATATATATATATATATATATATATATATATATATATATATATATATATATATATATATATATATATATATATATTGGTTTCATAATCGATTTAGTCTCTATATATATTTTTTTATTCAATTAAGTCCCAAATACTGGTAAATCGTATTCAATTTAACCCTTTGACCCGGTCAACAGGTCATCCAAGTTTCAAAAATTACATTTTTGGCCCAGATTTCAAAATTTATTACAAATATGTTCCAAAATTTACACTTTTGGCCCAGATTTTAATTTTTGTTACAAATTTGCTCCAAACTTTACCCTTTTTGCCCAAATTTTAGAATTTTATTATGAATTCATCCTAACTTTAATTTTTTTTACAACTTTTTTTCTCAAAGAATTTTTTCTAATATGTTTTTTATAAAATCATACTTACACAAAAAAAAACAAAAAAAAACGTATTTTCACTTAAAAAATTTATATTTTCTATATAAAAACTTTTTTTATATGAATATTTAGTTATAAAAATAAATATTTAATAAGTATATAAATATATACAAATCCGTTTTTATAAAAAATGTATACAAACACCTATTTTATCTATATATTTTTTATAAAATCGTGTTTGTTTACATTTTTTTCATAAAAACTTATTTTAGTAATTTTTTATATAATACGTGTTCGTATATATTTTATCAAATGTATATACACAAACATGATTTTATAAAATATATACAAACACGTATTATATAAAAAATTATTTAAACAGGTTTTTATATAATGTGTACAAACACGATTTTATAAAATGTATTCAAACATGTATTATTGTAACGACCCGTCTCTGGTATGTTATTTTTATAGTATTTATTTTAGAAGTTTGTAGAGGGACTCGACGAGTCTATGTCCCGACTCGTCGAGTAGGGTCGTGATCTTGATCAGCTAATAGATCGGCGACTCGGCGAGTCCATATTCGGGACTCGGCGAGTTGGCCTGCCAGGTTGAAACCCTAAATCCCCGGGTTTGCACCCTATTTAAACCATCTTATGAGCCCCAAACTCGTCTCCTTCACCCTCAAAGCACCATTTAGCAAACCCTAATCATTCCATTGAGTATTTGAGCATTTTTTGTGTAATCTTGAAGTTTTGAAGAGAAGGAGAAGGCTAGATTCAAAGAAGAAGAAGAATATCCAAGTCTTTGCACCCATTTCAGAGTATTTTGAGGTAATAATCGGTTTCTTCCTGTTTTGATGATTGATTCTCCTTTATAAGCATATTTAGCCCATTCTTTAGCTTGTTCATAGTAGAGAAACCATGTTGGATGGGTTAGCTTCCGAATCTAGCCATGTTTTAGTTCAAAAAACGTAGATCTATTAACTTTATGGAGCCATTTTGCATGTTAGCCCTAGATCTACTCTTCCAAGTGCCTTTTTAGCCTTTATATCCTTTTGTATGCATTTGTACACGTAAAGTTGGGAACTTTACGTGGTAAACCAGCCTTAGGAACTCAGATCTATATATTGTATGCAGTGGTTTTGAGCAGAATCGAGTTTTTAGTGATTACATGCATGGGACTCGACGAGTCGTTCTTCGGACTTGGCGAGTCGAGTCGCGAGTCCCCGATTCTACCCCTTTGAGTGATTCCGAGTGGGAACCAGTGAATAGTGGAATGGACTCAGTGAGTTAGAGGTTAGACTCAGTAATGGAAGGACTCGATGAGTTGTTCATACAACTCGGCGAGTCCAAGGCAATCTTCTTAAGATTCAAGAACAACTCGTCGAGTTGTTCATACAACTCGGGGAGTCGGATACAGATGACCTGAGTGTTGGAATAGAATGGGAACTCGTCGAGTATATGCCATACTCGACGAGTAGCAGTGAGCAGGGTTGATAAATGAGAGTAGAGACTCGGCGAGTTGGCGGCCCAACTCGGCGAGTCAAGTCAACTGAAAGTTGACTTTGACCAGGATAGTTGACTTTAGCCAAGGGTAAAAGAGTCATTTTACCCCAATGCAGTTATTAGTATTTGATTGAATATATTTGTGGAATTGTAGCCGGGGAGATACCGGAGCAGCAGCATATAGTTTCCAAGGCCACACACTCAGCAACCAGATCACGAGGTGAGTTTCCTTTCAGTAGGAACGGGTCTAAGGCCACAATGCCGACCCATTTAGCTAGTAGTAGTTTTCGGACTTCGGTCCGATGCAGATTTTAGTATGTTTGATGCCTTCGTGGCTCAGACAGGATTTCTGTGTTATGTGTTCCGGGTTACAGCCCGATGTAGTATGTTGTTTATGTGCTCATGTTAGTTGATATGCTTATGTTATGTTATGTTTAGTAGTTCCGAACTTCTGTCCGATGCAGTCAGTTCTGGACTTCGGTCCGATGCAGTTAGTTCCGGAGTTCGGTCTGATGCAGTTAGTTCCAGACTTTGGTCTGATTCAGGAGGCAAGGCCTCAGTAGTTCCGTATTTCGATCCGATGCAGAGGGCAAGGCCTTGGTTAGTTCCGGACTTTGGTCCGATGCAGTTTCCGGACTTCGGTCCGATGCATTGGGCAAGGCCCAGTATGTGTTTATATGTATTGTATGGTATGTGGTAGTTTGGGGGAGCTCACTAAGCTTCGTGCTTACAGTTTCAGTTTTGGTTTCAGGTACTTCCGCAAGCAAAGGGAAGAGCTCGTGTTGATGGCATCGCACACACCACAGCTTCAGTTGTCCTGGGAGTTGTTTTTAGTTTTTCATAGATGGCATTTAACACAGTATTGATACAGTTTACTCATAACACTTTGCTATTGTTTTTGAGATATTGACGTACGAGTTTTACCTTATGATATTATCATGGTGTTTTTAGTAATTATTAAACATTTTTTTTTTTGGTCGTATTTTGGGATGTTTCAATTATATAAAAAATTATTTAAACACGTTTTTATAAAAAAAAAAACATGATTTTGCAAAAATACACACACACACACACACACACACACACACACACACACATATATATATATATATATATATATATATATATATATATATAAAGGTGATAGGTGTTTGTATATATTTTTTTGTAAAATAAGTTTTTGTATACATTTTTTTATAAAAACAAATTTGTATATATTTATATACTTAATAAATATATATTTTTATAACTAGATATTTCATATACAAAAAACTTTTAAAAAAAATTTATATAGAAAATATAAGATTTTTATGTGAAAATACGTTTTTTTATATTAATATGATTTTATAAAGAAAAAACATATTAGAAAAAAAAATTGAGATAAAAAGTTGTAAAAAAAACTAAAGTTGGGATGAATTCATAATAAAATTCTAAAATTATGGCAAAAAGGGTAATGTTTGGACCAAATTTCTAACAAAACTTAAAATATGGGCAAAAAGTATAAATTTTGGACCAAATTTGTAAAAAAAAATTGAAATCTGGGCCAAAAATGTAATTTTTGAAAGTTGAATGACCTGTTGACCGGGTCAAAGGGTTAAATTGAATACGATTACCGGTATTTAGGACTTAATTAAATAAAAAATAAATATAGGGATTAAATCGATTATTAGGCCAATATATAGGGACTTTATTGCAGTTTTCCCTAAAATAAAATAAAAAAAATAAAAGATTTGTTTTTTTATTTGGTCTTTATGGACCCCTAAATAAAAAATAAAAAATAAAAGTATTTGTTACCCCTGTCATTATTGACATTACAAACAAGTTATCCGGTTTAATAGATGATGTGGAGTTTCGCTCCCATAAGTCAAAGTAAAAAATGTATGGATCATATATTTCACATGTGAAACACAAAGAAAATGCTTAAATCTTTTTCTTACTTAGCTACTCCTATAAAACCTAGAAGATTCCAACAGACCCTCAAGATCATAATGAGAAGACTTCCTAACCACAAACTCTTCAATGGTAGCCTACCTTCGTCCCCTTCAACAACTATAACCATACACCAAAACCTTGCACGCTCGAAATGTAGATTCCCTCGTATCACTACACTGACCCCAAAAAATTCGGGTATGCCGATATCTTCCAAGCAGAATACCTAGTTCTCCCCCACTTATGATTTGAACTACCTTCGACTGACACATGCAATCTCAGAGCCTCCCGCCAGCTCGGTTAGGTACTTGCCATCACTAACTCTCGGTATGCAAAATGGCATATAAAAATACTTT